TAATTGTGCGATATTTTCTACACAATAACTTCAATTGCCGAGCATGATAATACTGGACGTGGCTCCCACTACCAACGACATACTAAGATAAGTATTCCAGATCATCTGGGTTTTTATTCCTTAAGATCTGTTTTAGATTGATTAATCAAACGCTCCTTTACGCCCGGACAAGCATCTCAATGCAAGCTCAGAGTTTATTGTGATGGCTTTCATTGGGTAAACAAGACATTTACGTCTACTCGCCGCGCTCAACATCCATTCGTAGGCACTTTGGTATCTTTAAGTTCAGTTCGTAGATCTGAGCTTGGTTCAGGGGGAGAAGCAGAGGAAGGTTCATGTACGTTGTGTAATTCGTTCATCATTGCGGGATTACTTGATTTATCGGCATTCCCCGTAGACTCGATTACCAGCCGCTGTTCGGGAAAGGAGCCCGCGCTATATATGGTAAAAGAGACTTGCTTCCCTTTGGTATGTATCTCCTCGATAATTTGATGGTTATGTAATTCGTTTTCTGTGAATAACTGATAAAGCTAATCTGAAGCGGGTTGTTGATGGTTATTTTTTTTTTTCAAAATAGCGTCGGTATAGCGACATATAAAAACAGGTACGGTTTCTCTCTCCCTAGACAGAATTGGATTGTACTGTTGACAATATTAAGTTGAGGACCCGCCCCCAGTGTGGCTTTGGTTGGTATGCAAGGACACGTGACCAGCTGCACTCGGGGTACTTTCTCGCTCCAGGGAGAGAAGAGAGGACCCTGGGAACGAGGTTAGCCCGGCTTACGTTTTACTCATGGCTTTTTTTAAACCAGGACGGCCTGGTCCGAGCTCGGTTCATGCTCGGCTTGTGAATTTTTAACCTGGGTGACCTAGGGTCGAACCCGAATCATGTTTTGCTCGTGGCTATTTTTAACCGGGACGGCCGAGTGATGTTTATGTTCTGCTCCTGGGTTTTCTTGTCGTTTTGTACGTGAGTAGACCAAGACCTCTCCGCGCGGCCCAGGTTTACCGTGAGTGAAGATCCGACCGGTCTTCGCTAGAAAATATTTTAAGGCACAGAATGTAAACAGTTGGTTAAGAGGTAAACAGACATCGCATCGTAAATAAAAAAAAATACATCTGTGTTTTAAGAAAGGGTGAATGCAACAGAAAAACAAACAAAAAAGGAAACTTGCATTTGATTAATTCCCTGAGTTTAAAGGAACAGATCGTGTGAACGATAGAAATATAATTTGCATGTTTGCACTCGACCATTTGAAACCTGAACCGACTGACACTAATCACGTCATGAGTGTAACGGAATATCACGTTTTTCAATACGGATTTCATTTTTGGTTCAAACAGAAGTGTACCTTAATTTAACAAATAAGTTAGCAATTAATTTCTCGGTTTTAAGCTTGCTAGGGCTTCTTGTTTCGGTTCGTGCGTCAATAGACCGACCCCTCTCCGTGCGGCCCAAGTACACCGTGAGTGAAAATCAGGTCTTTGCTTGGAGGATTTTGGAGGCTGGGAACTTTAATTCGGCTAATATTCCACGGAATGTAAACAGATGTACGCTTGGACGAAACAAAATGCAGTAAAAGAGGCATTGCACTGTCAATCACAAAACAAAATACATCTGGATAGTAAGAAGGGCTAATGTGACAAAAAAAAGAAAAGCTCGTATTTCATTCAATTTCGCTGACTGAACAACTTAAGCAAGCAACTTATTTCGCGTGTTTGCCCTCGACCTTTTGAAAACGTGCAACGCATATAGCGTGGAGAATGTCACGTTTTTTGATGCGGAAGACGTGAGGCTCAAAAATCAGTCTAACTTAATAATTTTCGTTTTAACAAAAATGGTGACAGCTAACGCCCTCTAGTTTTAAGTTTGCTAGAGCTTCTTGAAGACTCGTGTAAGTTCTGGACTCATTCCCTCATAAAATACAGAACGAGATTTACAAGCAGTGTTCCTTGTTTCCTGTTCGTATTACATTCAGGGCGCTCAACTAGGCGTAAAATGCGGCATGTTGGTGAGTCGTGATAGTTCCCACTCAACTTTACTTGTCGGCTGGTACCGCTACTTAATATTCACGAGTCGTACGATTCGAAATTCGTTTCGCGTCGAATCTAGTCGACCGTATCGAGCATGGACGCTTGACTTGGGATGATCTGCACTGAACTCTGAAGGCAAAATCCACATTTCAATCTACTTCAGCGACCCCGCTAGTAAAGGCTTCACTTTATCGACTGCATTAGGCCGGTTCTCAGAATGACAACAAGCCTCATCATTGGTAGAAATAGAAAATGTGTGTCGTCTGTACGTACATAATCAATTCATACCTGTCCTGCTTTCCAGCTTGGCTTATTTGGTGTCTGACTTAATTCCGCTCTTGCTCGCATTTTCAGATCGTCCAGAGTTTTTAATCCTGTACATGAAATACCAAGAGCCGCCATAGCTTGAAACATTTCAAACAGGTCGTCGATTTCCTCGATATTTTTGGTCTTGCTAAGAGCCATTTTCACAGATTTCAGTGGATTTAAAGATCACTGCTCTTTAGATTGCACTGTGGTAGAGAACCAGACGTCGTCTGGTAGAGAACTAAATAAACGTCAAAGGTTAACTTTAAAGAAAAGCCTTTTCAAGGGAAAGCTCTCTCACTTTCCTTGAAGCTATCGGAGCAGTATTGTTTTACATCTAACTGTATGCATGGCAGCCGTGTGTTGTTTTCATAACTTTTTGGGTCATTGTTCTGCTGTTTGTTTCATTATTCTCTCAGCCAATCCTATGGCAGAGTAAATTCTGAGAACTCGATCAAAGTGGCTATGAGCCAGTCTTAACATGGAAATTGGATCGCCTATAAACAGTGGCAACACAGGTCATATATCATTATACCGAGCTAGTAACATAAACCAGACGCGGAGTCCGAAGATTGTTAAGATTGCTGAAAAGCAAATTTGGGTTTATTACAATGCAAAAAGATTGTTACAATATTTCGGCGTTATTTCTTTGAAGTTAGATTAAAACAGGTGGACAACTCATGTATCAAAGCTAATTAGGCGTATCACAAGCAATGACGTAACATGATGTATCAAGCTAGAGAGGCGATAAACAAAGTTATAGCCCACTGACTTCCGACGAAGGTGTATTTTGAGCGGAAGCTAGAGGTGTCACGCCATCATACGGACCAGTTTTTTCGACGTATTCTAGAATGGACTCGGTTTTCAACCAGGTGCCGGGCGTAACTGAACTAATGGCAGTTTAGTAGTTATTTTGTCTAAAAAAAAAGATAGAAAAATTATTTCACCTTTGTGCGAACTGAATAGCTTTATGTCAAATGATTAAATAAAAACGTCCTGGTTTTCTAAGAAAAAGGGAACAATTTCTGAGAATGAAAATAACAATTCGTCTTCAAATGGGAAAGAAATAATAATAATAATAATCATAATAATCATAATAATAATAATTATAATAAAAACAGAATCGGTTTGCAGTCTAGGTATATTATTTTTAATGCTTAGGGAAAAAATCTTTAAAACGTCGAGACCTAGTCCAATTTTACCCTTTTTTTGGTTGTTTGTCTTTTATGGAACAAGGTACGGACAGGTTGTGTATACAAAACACTAAAGGCGGGGGTTAAAGAAGAGGAACACCCCCCCCCCCCCACTTCCCACAAAAAACTATCTTAAGTAAGTGAAAAGTCTACTTAAAGAAGCATACTTAAACCATGGCAAAAATAGTATTCTCAAAGTTTAACTTCAATGTGGTTATTGTTAATGAGAGACCCATCACACAGGCCAATGGAATGGTCTTTCTTTGGGGGAGGTGAAATGACAACTTAACTTTGAAGTCTAACGTGTCTAGCCTAGCAAATAAAATTTCAAAATCCAGAGGTATAATATTTACGTCTATTTTCTTTCTTTCAAAATCTTCTCTCCGTATTCTATAAGATTCAATAATATTTCCATACCTTACTGTAATCTAGTTTGGGGATTTACCGTACAAAACAAACCTTCAGAGAATTGTAATTTTGTCGCTAGTCTGCGAGTCTTCAATTCCTAGTTTTATGCTCACAGAGAACCTAGTTTAAAGAAATTTAATTTGCTTAAACTTCAAGACATTCATTCAGTACATCTTGGTCAATTTATGTTCTTGTTTAGAAACTCTCTTCTCCCTGAAAAGTTTGAAAACACATTCACAACAAACAGCCAAATCCATGATGGTTACAACACAAGGCAGGCACACTCCTTTCGTTTTCCATGATGTCGAATTTACCTTACCGAACCAGTTCCAGAAGCGTTCGAGATTAATACGTTGTGTGCTAGACTGTCTTCGCGCGCCACCAACAACAGTGCAGAAATCGTGTACATTAGCTATAAAAATTTACGATATACCTTCGGTAAGTGTCCGCCGTGAAAATTGATCGACGAGTATTGTTTTCTTGCGCCCATGTTCCAGCTTGCGATTTCCTCGGCTGCTTTGAACATTTTTTCTGAAACTCTCCACGAGAATAATCCCGTTGCACGGGCCAAGTAGCTACCTCGATCGATGAGGAAAGCCACGTGTAAGAAGGCGACAGAGTCGCCTTGCAATACCTCCCCGCTGACTGGCCAGAAAAAATATTATTCTGGCCAATCTGCGGCAAGATTTCCAACGCTTCTGTAACTGGTTCGGTTAGGGTAAGTCGCGCCGCTCTTGAAGTAAACTTACGCCCTAAAATATCACATCGTCCCGACTAGCTGCCCTGGGTCTCCGAGGATGGAAAACAATATGACGCTCCTTCTTTCAATTAAGGCCGTATACTGTAAAAGAACTGAACTACTGTAAAAGTAATTATATTGTATAGTAGATCAGTATACACTACTGATCTACTGTAAACTCTGCTGATCTACTGTAAAAGAACTACTGTAGATATTGCTGAACCTGAAATCCAGCTCTCACTCTTTTATGTTGACCTGGTAGAAAGTCGGAAACTGTCAATCAAGTATCAAACTGACACTTCCAAAAAATCTAAGCTTACGTTAGGGCTTGCACAGTCCACACTGAGCAGTCCCACGAATGCTCATGAGAATAATTACCATATTTACCTTCGATAAAATAACAGAGTCGAAACGTTTTTCATTTTTCACATTTTCTCTATGATTCCAAGAGAGTCTGGCCAACTGAAAATAAAACAACGAGAGCAATATAAAAATTACAAGAACTGTTTTACGGAATTAGATTAAAATATAAGTCACAGAAATGCACAGGAAAACTAAACAAAAACTGTTGTGCAACCTCTAACAAACAACAACTCAAGCTAGCTGATTGAGGAAGAAAGGTTGTCTTACTGGTTACGCTTTACATTATCCAGTGTATACGATACCAATACAGCTACATTATAGTACTTGCAAAACTAATATTAATAGCTACTCTTCATTATTGTTTCTTACTAACCACCTTTTCTTAATCAAACTGTACTTGCATTTACCAAGATGAGTTAGGTGAAGGAGATATTTGACATTAGCTAACATTGTCCATATGTGATCTCCACTAAAGAAATAAGGTCTGCTGTGGTTTTACTTAGTCGAAAGTAAAGCTCTAAATCAAGAGCAGAACATACCAGCAATAACAATAAAGTGTTCCAGAAAAATGGTCAGGTAAAATACATTTTAGTAAATCATATGGCCAGAGCACTAATACTAAATCAAGATAACCGTCCAGATTAAAAAAAAAAAACACCAAAAAAAAAAACTTGATGAAACTCATTCTCTTTGAGCTAAATTAATCCTAAGTACACGCAATTTAAATATTTACCGAGTTTTTCCACCAAGAATTTCCACCAGAAGATTTCCCTATAAAATTCATCTTATGTTTTTTAACAATAGACTGGCAGGGACTGGCCTTTCCTTCTTAGAGTAAATACCTGAAGGTACTCCAGCTATAGCAAAAAAAAAAAAAAGAAAAAAAACAGAAAAACTGATTGTTCTGGTGTGGGGTATACTGTCTTCAGCAGTTGTATGCGGCCAAAAACTTTGCCTTGAAATCGAAGGAAACGAACCGATGGTGAACTGGATTTTGCTCAGGCGAAGCAGAGTTCAAACAGCGAAAAATGATCAAAAGATCGATCCACGCTTGTGCTTACTTCGACATTTTCACACCTTCGAAAGGACGCCAAAATAAAAATGGCGCGAAAACCGAGAGAAACTGGTGCCTAATGTGAAAACCACTAAATTCGTGTTTGTGTGAGGACCAGACGTCTACAGGCTTTTAAAATTTTGAGAATGGTGATATCAGAAATGACTACAGCCAACAAACGATGATCATGCAACAGTTTCGTTGCAAAGAAGCGTAAAACTACCTTTACGCGTTTCGTAAAGAAGTTGTTAATGAAATCTAACCGTAAAGACGAGTTTGTATATCTTTACGCGTTTAATAAAAGCGCGTAAAGATCGATCGGCGTAAAGAAAATTAAAGGTCCGTGAAGAACAATGAGTGAAAATGCGTAAAGAATGTGTCAAGAGAAACAGCTCAAAATAATCCGGTATTTCCATTGAAGATGGACAAGACATAATTATTTCACTTCTTTGAGTATCTCTCTAGAAAATATGTATTTCTCTAGAAAGTGGTGAATCATATCCATCTAGATCCTTATTCTTTACGAACGTTTAATATCCTTTACGCAGTCTTTACACGTTCTCTGTATTTACGCATCTTTACGGAACACGGAACTTGCCCATAAAGAAGAGGCCTTATTTTTACGATTCTTTAAGCAATTTTAATTTGGATTTCATGCTGTAGGTATTATTTAGCCTTTTTTTTTTCATTCATTCATTCTGTTCCCTAGAAACTAGTCCATTCGACAATGAAATGTTACACTAACTCTACAACCTCGAGCTGTTCATACAGTTCAGTTGTCTTTTGGTTACATTCCTCAGCTGAAGGACGTCCCACTGCGTTTCCATTCGAGCATTTCTTCATCAATTCTTTCCAGGGCTGCGGAGGCTTCTCGCAGTTTTTCAGATGTTTAGGACGATGACCAGCATCGACGATAGCAGTGAAAGCCCTCACTTCAGAGAAAGCCTGTTTCCCATACCACATCTCCCACAGTATTAGACCAAAGCTGTAAATGTCTACTTTGCTGTCATACAGCTTTGAATGAAACACTTCCGGCGCGATGTAGAAAAGGGTTCCCGTCAAAGTACCCGTGACGTTCTTTGCTTCTTTGGAAACGGCAACATCGGTAATCCTCACTGAGTGCTCTTCTGATAACTTCAATAAAAATAAACATATGATCACTGATAACTGTCCTATTTTAAATCTTACATTTTTAATATTTCTTATTATTATATCGCTTGTGTTTGTATGCCCACGGGCCGAGTACGGGCCTGCAAAGGCAGAGCAAAAAGCCATATAATAAACAACCCGAAGGACGAGCTGGGAGAACAGGGAGCTTAAGAAAAGTTTAATTAGTAGAACAATGGCTGTGCACGTGAGTTATAATTCTTAGTACATTTCTTTGCTGTCCTCTGCAAATCAACCACGTGAAATGACCAAATTCTGCGTTGTCTGGAGAACGTGTACCACGAAGACTAATTTTTTTAATTTTTCTTTCAAAGTTATCGCTGTGTACCGGATTTGGTTTTGCGATAGTTTTGACAGTGATAAACAGATTTATCACACGACTGATGAAGATTTTCACAAAAAAATCGGATTCAGAGCCGGCTTGGCATTTAGTTACGTATCAAAGGTGTAGGCGTAGGAAGTTGAAGATGAAGGCAAGACAATCGTTTACGAGTAGTATTTATTCTGAACTGGCAACGAGAAAACCGTCAAGAGTGCTTCGTTACAGTGCCCGATCCAATACTTGGAAAATTTTGGAACGTTCTATTTCTCATGTACGTAATTACTTTTAATTTTGAAAACCTGTAATACTGCTAAATTTAATTCTTTTGAGAGGTTTCTGGAATCACCAGGTCTACTTTTATGAGAGCGTGAGTTTCGTCCCAACAGTGAGGTTTACAAATGTGACAATCTTAGTGCTGCTTTCCGAGAAGTCAAATAAACCAGTCAGTTACGGTTCTGTTGCAGCTACTGTGGATCCTAAATTTTAGTCTGGGAACTGAACCGTGCTCTCTGTATCGACACTCGTTACAATGTTACTTGAACCCTAGCGACTATACTTAATAATAAGGTATTTGGTTCCCTAAAGAAGGCTGTCAACAAAAATAGTACATCATAAAGGAAATTAATCATGGTACATGTAAAGAGCTTATAGTTTCATACCAGGATGTTCTCAAGCGTGAGGTTTCTGTGAATAATTCCCTGTTTGTGTATGAACACAAGAGCACCACTGATCTCTTTCGCCCATCGACATACTTCTCTAAAGACAGCCGGATTGCTAGATTTTGCTGGAGCTGCTTCTGGGTGATGAAATATGAGACTCTTTAAGTTTCCTCTGCATTTTTCCATTACCAAGATCACTCTTGTGATGCCGTCTTTGTCGAGAAGGGATGTGCCATAAAACTTTACAATGTGAGGATGGTCTAATTTTCTAATGAACAAAAGAAAGGTGGTAATTATATAAAAAAACAGCCGAAATAAGTGACAAAAAAAGAGAAGAATAATCAAGTAAAAGTAAGACCGAAAAACAAAGATTCTACTTCAAAGATTCTACTACGAAGATTCGCCCTATTCCCTTTCCGCTCGTCCTAATTATATACTAGATAAAAAGTCTTACTTTTTAGAGTATAAGCATTCTAAAACTTGCTACAAAGTTAAGACCACCTTTTCAAAGTACTATGGTGTAGTCTCCTCCTTGACAAAAAGAAGACCATTTCAAGACCACGCTACGATGAATTCTAAAGACCAACTCACTCGTAGCCAAAGTTACTTTCGTCCCCAAACTTTTACAATGAGGCGTATACGCTGATTGTTGAAGGAATCACTTCAACACCTGATAAAAGCCAGAGTAAATGGATTGCTGAATGCGAAGATTACGAAAATGTGACAAAATGGGATAAGTCATATATCTGCCCTTCTATTGCAAGAAAGAAACTAAACTTCAGACTTTCCAATTTAAGCTTTTTCACAGAAGGCTTGCAACGAATGATTATCTAACAAGTACCGTAATGTAAGTGGTGTAAGTGTAACGGAGTGGTCTGTAAATATTGTACTGTAACTGCGGTGTAAGTACCGTAAAGTAACGCAATGTAAGTAGGGTATTTCGTATAACTATCTTGATGTAGGTAATGTAAGTATTGCGTTGTAATTAGTGTTAGCAAGTAGTTTGTCTTGTGAGTAGTTGAGTGTGGAAATAACAAGATTTTTCTTGTTCAAAAAAAAAAAATATATATATATAAACAATTAGGTGAACTACTCAAATCTTGAGTGGATGGATGTTTAATACAGAACTGTTTCGTAGGTCACCGAAAAGGTAACCCACTCCTCAGTTAAACTCCATGTCACAATCCAGTATATCTATCTATCTATCTATCTATCTATCTATCTATCTATCTATCTAT